GCCTAACGGTATATTTGCTTAATACATTTTAATTAATAGATATTGAACTTGCATTAACGCTTATAACGGTGAAAAAATATTTTCCCAATATGTGATTATAAGGCTGTGAAATATGCAAAAACACGCGTTTTTGGGACATTTGAGTGTGCGTAGAAGCTGATTGGCTAGTGATATTAACAAATCCAAAAACTTATATTCTTATTTTGACTAGTAGAAGTGAAAAATAAGAAAAAATCAACTTAAACATTTTTTTGTCGCACAGTGTAATGTTTACTTTATCTAATCACGATCAAAAAGCCACTTTAAAAAAAGGTGTTGCATAGGAGAAGAAAATAAAGATGCTTATTAAAATTTAGCACGATGGTATGGAAAATTTTTTGACCAAATTTTCAGAGTCTACCATTTTTGTATTTTGCGCATGGCGCACTATGAAGTAGTTAACTACTTTTTTTGGGGTTTTTTTTTTTTTTTTGATAGTTTTGAAATTCTAGTTGGAAAATAAAATAAAATAAAATTTTGTACAGCAAATACAGTAAATTTTTTTCAGAACCTAAACATGAAGTAACCACGTCCATTTTATTTTAAATTAATTAAATAAATGTATTAAAAACATAATTCGAAAATGTTGATTTGTTTTCAGGTTATTTATTAATTCCACAAGAAGTGTTCCTTTTTGCCCATAGTGCAACGCTAATCGTTAATTTAAATTAGGAAGTAGAAACTACCAATATATTAATAAAACTTCTCTTAAACTTTTGATATTTTAAGAGGCGGCTCAAAACACTGTGGTTCTGCTCAAACTAGTTCACCACCCTCCCAAATTCTCCGCTGAAAGTCTTGCTAAGAGAGACGAACTTTAATTCCAGCCTTTCATTAGCATGCAAGGCGGGCAACGTTTTCCCAGCCGAAGCGATGAATAAAATAACAAGCGAGGCGAGCGGCAAAGAAAAATAAACCTTCAAAGGCGGGTAGTGGAAAACAACGCGAAAATGTGTCAGTTAAAGTGGCGTACACACAACATGTGGGCGAAAGCAATGAACTCCGCGCAAAAACTTGGCTCAGCTCTTGACTCAACTCTTTTGGGCCAACACTTCGCCCCCTTTCCATTACTTGCACGCGCCAAAAAAAAATGAAAACAAGTGAAGAAAACGTGGCGAATATTACGGAATATTATAAAAAAGACGAAAAATATAGCAACTCTGCTGTGCCAGTGGCAGGGAAAACAGGGAAACAGAAGAGGGCCAAGTGGCAAAGTGGCGAAGAGGGAGCTGCAAAAAGAGCTACAAAATAGCATAGAAAATTAATAATCGCGCAATTTTTGCGCCAGTAAACAATGAGAAAGTCTTGGCTCGTTAGTTTCCTCATTATTCTGAATTTTCAACTTGCGCTATCTGCCTCTGCGAGAATTTCCCCCTCACCTCCGTGAACTTTTCTTTGTGCCCTGCCTTTTGCAGTTCCAGTCCAAATCCCTGAAAAGGACAAAACGCAACGCGCCACTGAAAATGGAGCAGCGGCGAACGAGCCTTGAGGTTGTGGGTTTGGGACCGAACTGGGTCCTCGTCCGGCTGGCTGAGACAACTGTCTGACAAGATGAAGAACGCGATTTAACCGGAAAAATAATAATGAAAAATGCGATTTAATATCATTTTTCATAACAACAAATTTCTCCGGTCTCCTTCTGTATCCCTCGTTATTTTTTTCTCCGTGAAGCGCAAATGAAGTGTTGCAGCTAAAAAGTTCATAGAGCGCTAATGGATTTCAGTTTTGTCAAAATTCTGAGCTCTGGAGAAATTAAGAATAATGATGTTTCAGTGATGAGTTGTTGCACTTTTCGGTGAGGCGTTGATAAGCTGACTTTGGAAAATTAAAAAATAAAAGAATGCTTTTCAAAAAGACGCGCTTTAGTCAAGTGACAAAAGGGAATACTGTTCCACTAAGATAATGGTCTGATCTCACAATCAAGTTAATATTTTGGAACCACATATATTTATACCCTTGCAGAGCAAAAGGGTATTATAATTTCAGTCAGAAGTTTGCAACGCAGTGAAGGAGACACCTTAGACCCCATAAAGTATATATATTCTTGATCAGCATCACCATCTGAATCGAAATATGTATGTACGTCTGTCCGTCGGTCCGTCTGTCCGTCGGTCCGTCTGTCCGTCTGTCCGTCTGTCTGTTTCTATGTAAACTAGTCTCTCAGTTTTAAAGCTATCTTGCTGAAACTTTCCCAAAAGATGTGTAGCTATTGCACGCAGTATATAAGTCGGATCGGGCCGGATCGGCCGACTATATCGGATAGCTCCAATACAAGAGAATGAAATAAAAAAATCTTACTTTGTTGTTATTTATCAGATCGACTTGATTTCTTCCATATGGCATTTTCTAACTACTATTGAATTTCGGACCAAATTTTATCAAAATCGGACAACTCTATCATTTAGCTGCCATAGGAAAGATCGAAAAATATATATAGAATTAATGGAAATAAATTGATAACATCTTTTTTTTTATCCCAAGAGCATGATTTTTTAAATATCAAATTTTTTAACAACCCTAATATTGAGAAAAAAGTTTCATAAAAATCGGACAGCTATATCTTATAGCTACCATAGGAAAGATCGAAAAATCTATATAGAAATAAAGGAAATATAGTGATAACATCGTTGTTTTTCATCATACAAGTATGATTTTTGAAATATAGAGTTTTCTTACGACTCTTAAATTACGAATTAAATTTGATCCAAATCGGACAACTATATCATATAGCTCCCATACGATCTATAGTCGGAAATATGGAAAATGAATAGAAAAATCGTTATAGCTTCGATGTTGTTTAGCCTTTATGCATTTTGTTCGACATATTTGATGACTGCTTCGGCAAGCCGAAGCTAGCTTCCTTTCTTGTTTTTATATAAACTGGAAAACGATACATAATCTTGAAGTTATTATTAATTCTTGATAAAATGTAATGTAATTCAATATGTATAGCTAAAGGCCTAGTTGCTAAAGCTGAATTATGGGTTAGAGGTAATTTAATAAATAAAATAAAAATTATTTATTCTTTGTTTGAATTTGAAATATAAAACATAATTTTCCCCAGATTCATTTAAATGTTCAAAGTAATTGGTAGAACAAAATAATTAAACAATCAATGTTTAAATGATATCTAAGTTGGCTTTAAATATTTTTCAGTCACCTTTTAAAACTTGCTTTTCAGCCAAGACGAGGTCATGTTTATTCAATCAGACAACCTTTTGTGAAGGCCACCAGAAAGGGAACGAATGGAACCAACTTAAAAGGCAGTCATGCAAATGATGCCGAACCGATAGAGGCAGCCGCAATTCCCTTGGAAGCTGCTGACCAGCGGAGTACAACCGAAAACAGGGAAACAAAATCAAATTACAAGCGGACACACAAAAAAGAAAAAGCGTCGAGCAAGGGGCAGGCGACCAACAAGTTTTCCTGGGTGTCGACTCGCATTCGCATTGGAGGCGAAACGACAACTAAATTATTAATGCACAATGAACTTGAAGCGAGACCAGCTCGGCGAGCGGCAAACCAGAAAATATGGGCAGGGAGAAAGTTTAAAATATATGTACGGCATATGAAAGCGGGTATACGGGTGAATGCAAATGATATTAACTTGGCCGGGAGTAGGGCAAGGACAAGGGCACACAACGGCGTAAAGGTATTCAAAAAAAGTGCGGAAAAATTATAATACGTGGACAAATTGCGTACAGGACAGCGAGACCGGCCCCTTTGTTCTTTTCGCTGTCTCCTCATTTTGCATTTTAAATCAACATTTGTTTTTTAGTCACATTCCCGCCGTGTCTCATGTTTTTTTTTATTCTGATACGCATTAAAACTTTTCAACTTATTTATATAATTTTTCATGGGAATTTCACCTTTTGAAGTTTGGATATGAAATGCGTAATGATTTTTTCATTGCTGTTAAATAAACAATTGAGTACGGGGAGTTGCCAAACTTTTCCTGCTAGGATGACAACCCAGCCTCGGGAAGCCTCATTTATTATACACCCAACTGATGGGAAGGCACCCAAGGCTGCTTTCGTGTATGGGACTAATCAAATTCTGCCATTTAATTTCGGAAACTTACAGGGCATAAAGGTTAAATGCTGTCAATACGAAAGGGCTCCGAAAACTGTCAGGATGACTATTAGCCATTTAATTTATTCCAAAGTGGAGTCTGTCCATAGGATAATTTTCTCATACATCTTTAATGAATTTGGTGTGGTCTTTTTAATTTCATATTCTAGGTTATTACTTGCTAACCAGTTTGTTTTTACCGCGGGTATCATTAAAATTGGCTTGCCTATAAATAATGTAATGTGTTTTGTTCAGTTTTAGAGTGTATAGACCTTTTGAAAAAGTTGTTACTTTTTGCAGTTAATATTATATGGCGATCCAGTTTGAAAAATGTTTGTAAACATGGTTTTAATATGCTTATTTTATTTAGCTACATAATTGCAGAGATAATTGTTGCGAGTGAAAGCTAGTTTATAATTCAAAGATACTGTACTGTTAAGAAAATACCCTTTAAAATAACTATTTGATTCATAATGAGTAATTATGAGTGGTTTATTGAAGTGGTAAGCACTTCCAGTTCAATGACCCTGTTTGACATGCTTCACAAATAAACCATCCTTAAACTGCATATAAAAAGCCCTCACAAATTAAAAGCTATACCGCTTTTAAGTAAAGGTACTCAGTTAAAAAAAAACACAACCTAAAAAACGACCTAACCAAAGGGTCACACACCCGCTCAATTCCCTGACCTGACCTCGCAAATAACCAATTTATATTCAATTATCAATATTCCGTGAGGGCTAACTTTACAGGTTTCATGGTAGCATCCGCATAGTTATGTCCTCGTGGCCCGTAAGCTGCTTAACTATTTTAATTTTCAACGTGATCGGGTCATTTTGGCCGTTTTATTTCATGGGCCATATGGTTGCGGGGATTGTCGATTGGCTCACCTTTGTGCGATTTTTCAATAAATTCCCGGGCTTCGGCTTCGCTGGCGGCCTCAGAAAAAGATATCCAAAACACGTGACAGATTTGCTTGGATTACATACGCATTACACACACTCACGCACACTGGTACAACCTCACCAACACACAAAGCCCACGCACTACACACCGACGAGTGTGGGTGTGTGTGTAAGAATATCTGTGGATTAACTTCAATTCAATGATGGTTTGTTGGTTTTGCTGATATTTCTGTTGATATTCCGCAAGCCTCGAATGCACTGCTGTACGGCGTATTAAATCAAGCATACGCCAGGGCGCCACACAAATCAAGCATACGCCACCGGGCCGCGCGACCGACGCACGAAGTCACGGCTGGAGTCACAGTAGCAGCTTTGGTCACAGTTTCAGTCACGGTGGCGGCACACACTGAGCGGTAAACACAACTGAAGCCCACGACAACGGCGTTCGAAGTGGCGACTTGTGATGCCAGCAGTGACGACGACCCCGCAAAAGCTCGGCCAACTCGCGGAAAAGCCGAGCTCACTGCCTCGGAAAGTCGGAATCTAAGAGACCGGAACTCTCTTCGAAGAGAGTCCTTTGGGTGCGCCTGCCGGCGGACCTGCGCACTGCCGGCTTCACCAACGGCCGAGGGCGGGCTCTTCCAGTGCCTTACTTTGTGCCGCGCTCCGTCCCAAAAACAAACAGCAACAGCTGTTCCGCGAGGCAGGGAAGAGCCAAAAAAGCTGTCCTGTTTGCAGTCGGCTTCCCTCTGACGCACTCTCCCGATTCTCCCCGATACTCCCCGATCAGCCCGGTTTTTGCTATTTGTGTGTGGCGTGTCTTAGGTCAAAAACGTCGGCATCCGAAAGTAGGTAACGGGGAAGCGGGAGAACCTTTGCCGGTGTTGGCAGAATTTTTAATTATGATAAATGCCCATTCATAAAAATGAGTGGTATACATTTGCGTTGCGTGTTTGTTTTTGTATTTCGTATATTCGGTATATTCTGCATAATTATTATAGCCGTTATTATCTCTCCTTTTTTATCCCTCCGCTATCTTCCGTGTTTATTTTTTTTGTTTTCTTTCGCCCGTCAGTAATTTGTTAGCTCCATCTTTGATGGTTTGTTCCTCCCCCTTCTGTTTGCACTTGACAGGCCAAGATTTATGCGACTGCAGTTGGTGGTGATTGCTGGGGACGGTAACCGGAGACGGGGAGTGGTTACTGGTAAGTGGTGAGCGGTGAGCGGTAAGCGATGAACGGTAAACGGTAAGTGGTTGGGGACAAGGGGCGTCCGCCCGATGATCGACTGCCGACTGCAGGTGTTGATGGCCCAGATGTGCCGCAATCACCATCAGAGCCAGTTAATAAAATCACAGCACGACGTTTGATGAATTGTTGTGATTTTTGCCATTGACGTTTTTGGGGCCAAATCGTTTATCGGACTATTTAACGAACTTGCGACGACAATTACTATACTGTTCGTTAAAAAAAATGGTCTGAAAACTTTCGAAGGCCTACACGCCAGAAAAGACAACATTATTTTTGGGTCTTACATAGAGTTAAACTGCTTGCATTTGAATAAAGTACCATGAGTTAACTAAATGTCTTCACTTACCAACAAGTTCCACTTAGTATCAAAAACTAAATGTGTTCTGTTTACAAAATGTCATATTATAGTTGGTAAAAGGTTTTAAAATGTTCGATAAGAGAGCTAACCATGTGAAAGATTTTATGCCTACAAACCATTGTTACGAAGAGGGTTGGCAAATGTAATGCCCGGCAGCAACTTATCTCAATGCGATGTCCGACCACTCGACAAGAACCAAATTGACCAAAGTTAATTTAACCACTGTAAACAAGCCGGGACTCAAGTACCCAGGCACTTGAAATGCTTCGCTGGCCACGAGAAGAGAATGAGGTGCAAAAAAGCCTGAACAGGGGCGAAGTTGGCTGAAAGTCGGGGGGATGCTTGCAACATACGTATACGTACTATAGTGAAAATCAATTGAAGCGCCAACAAACGCTTCAATCAATTTTACTTTGGCAAACATTGAGTGCAAAATAAATCACAGCAGCGACTCGAGACGATGGTGAATGCTTCTCCCCTAGATCCTGGATTTGAGATCCCGGAGAAGAGGGTTGCAGGATCCCGGCAACCCGCCGAGCTCATCCTTGTGTTTATCTTATTTATGCAAAGCTGTGGCAAACACCAACAATAACAAGCCAGAATGTGCGGCAGAGGCAGCTAAAAAATGAATGAATTCAATGAAATGTGGGCAAAGGCTGATGGAGAAGGAAAAGTGCTTCGAGAGACTGGGAAAAAAGGAGTGCAAAAAATGCAACAAACCGATTGGCAAAGCGCGAGTGTGTTTGTGTGGGGACATCATGCTACTTGGAGGCACATCAAACATCTCAAACGGAATGAATAATTTATAGACGCAGAAGAAAGCTGAGAGGGCCAGGCTCGTAAGCCAACTGCAGCGCCTTTCTTTTACACTTCCAAAGGCGTACAAAATGGGATTTTTGGAAGATAAGATTCCCTTTACAGTTTCCAAAAAGTTTTTCTAAAAAACACAATGTTTAATATTAAGTACCGTTAATATGTATATATTTATAATCTTATAAAAATTTTATATTAATATAGTGAATATTATTTAAGGTTTGTTTAAAAACCTTTAATGGTATCTGTCACGAAACTAATTCCATCTATTTATAGTCTAATATACTGTATTAGAAATCTATGTAACATTATCTATTTTCTGCCCCGAAACTTTTTAGTTTTTGTTTTACATTTTTTTGTTTTTTAGTATTTGCTTTGAAGATTACACCCCTTTAAACCTTCAAAAAAAAGTTTTGCGGGCGCCTCTGCACACAAACAGACATTTCTGGGAGCTACGCATTAGTTGACACACACATTCCATTCATGGATTTCATTGCTACTGACAAAATAAAATGGCACTGGCAATGCAGAATGTAAATGGCCACCTGAAGTGGTAGGGATACCTTTGCATTTATTTTCATTTCTCGCACCAGCACTCGTTCCAAAGTATGCACCATAATTCCAGCAAAAAGAAATTTACTTCAAGGACTTCGATGCACTTGCAGCAAATCATATTTAAGGGGAGAGTAAGTTATATGTGCCGATTGCTGTTCAGCCAGCATTTCAAATGTGATTATCACGTTATCAAGTTTGCAGTACCCATTCTGCATTCAGCTCGTATTTCCCGACGCGTCAGACGAAAAGTTTAAATAAATGACTGCACAAAACTTTGATAATCTGACCGAAAACAAGAGGAAACAAAATGGCATGGGAGCTCTGACAAAAAGCAGCGAAGTTGAATTTGATGCCGGTTAGACCGCACTGAAATTCGTCAATTTTTGAAATGCCACCGAAGAAATCAAGGCGAAACAACTGTCTCGTGGTAAATATTAATTTAACTTTGCGCGTTAGCCGAGCAACGACACTTGACTTTAGAGAACCTGTGGCACCACAACGCGTTAGATGCAGGCCACAAATGTGGGAGGAAAGCCCCACTTGCCACGCCCACAAAAGAACCCACCTCCCAGGGGGTAAACCTCAGTTAGTTGTCTATTTGCCTATGCGAAATTTGATGCGCTGTCTACTTGTCTGTTTTCTGGTGGCGATGCCTGCGTAGTGTCTCCTCTGTTCTGTATCTCATTATCGTAAATTTTTATGCTAAATACATTTCGGTGTCGGACCCAAAATACAAACAGACAAACTGAAAGCGACAAAGGAAATTCGGCAGTTCCAAAATCTAATTGGAGAATATGTAATACTCTATATATGAGATTCTACAACAAGCAAAATTATTAAAAACCATGAGTTTCGTTAAGTTTGATATATTGTTAACTATATTTTTATATTTCTATTAACAAAAATCCGGGAACAATTGAATTTGTAATTTTAAAAGTATTGTATTTTAAAAAGTTAAATATGTGTCATTTAAATTGAACTAAGTTATTGAGAAACAACGCACATAAAAAAGAAAACAAGCCGCTCTTCGAAGAATATCAGACTACCGTCATTTGTGACAGCTGCCGCCACGTGCAACTCCTGCGATGGCCAACATAATCAGAGACACTCGCATGTGGGAGGTGGACTTGCGGACCCTGACAAATTGAACAATTTAAAGAGGGATTTGTGGTATTACTGTGGGCCTTTGGCTGTGCTTAGGCTAAAATTTAAATTAGGAATTCGACTAGAAATCTTAGTTGAAAACCTAAAATTTGTATTTAAAAAATAATTCAGATTTATACTGCCCTAAAATCAACACATTTGCGACGCCGCACAAAATCAATGGTCTAGTGTGTTTTTGGTCAGCTATATCTACATATATATATATGTATATATGATTAACCAATTATTGTATTTTGGTTTCTTACCTGCTGAAAAATCGATGTTCTTATTAACTTATAGCCTTTTACATTACATAAGGGATTAATGTCAAAGAGGCTTATCGCCTTAATGATATTACTGGGCTAATAAAGAATTTTGCAATTTCGGATGGACTTTATATTTTATTCCTTTAGATTGGTACCACCGTGGCAAATACACTACAAAATTTTATTTGAGTTCATAAGTTCTGAAAGATGTCAGTTTTTTTCGTACTTATTACGGTTATTACGTGATCTTTTAAGTATTCTGAAGCTTGCGTTAGGTAACTTAACACTTTGAAGGCTTTCTTCCTTAGAGGTTCGTAATCATTCTTGACCACGTATTGAACAAAAAGCCTTTTTGTCATCTCTGCCCTGTTCTCATTATATGCCTCGAGTTCTCTGCCACTGCACTTATCCTTTTCCAAGAACCGAAACCGCTGCAGGCATACTCCTTGGTGTTTCTCAAACATTAGTATAAACGACTCCAGCTGCTGAATTCCATTTTGTAATTGCTCAAATAGTTTCATGTTCCTGCAGTAAACCTCCCGAACTATTTTTATGGCCAGATCAGCTGATTTCTTCACGGACTTGAGCTCATTCAGTTGATAGCGTAGTTTATTATTCGAGATCTCGATTTGAAGGATGTCAGGGTGGATTCGGTCACTCAATAGTAAACTATCATGCATACAGGGATCGATATCCGGACATTCTGGTATGTTGGTGCCTAGAAGGTGATTCAGTCGACTTACTCGCCGTTTTATGCGACTTACATCCTCGTTGATGTCTTCCAACTGAAGACTAGCTTCTGATTCCTCCCCTTCCTCAAGGGACAACGTTGGTTGGGATGTAAAATATTCGGGCTTTTCGGAGTGGAACACTCTTTCCGGCTTATGCTGGGTGGCAATAAGTGAAACGGTTTGTTGTGCGGATTTCTGTTCGTTTTTAACCAATGGCTCCTTAATCTTCTTAGGAATTCCAGGCGCTTTGCATGGTAAAAACTGAAATTTTGTTTTAATCGAACTTTGCCATCGAATGCTTTTCTTGTAAGGAGTAACCTTATCGAGCTCCATTAAAGTTAGCTATTATTCAACGTGTAACCAACAACCAAAAAAACAGAGAACGCAACAAATTAATAACAAACAGAACAAATAGTAATTAGCACGTTTATAAGCGTTCCAACATAAATCTCAAAGCAAACTAATGTAAATGATCATGTAGAGAGAAATCCGACGAAACTGATTTTTCTGTCTGTCTGCTAAAATCTTTAGGAATTGTTCCTATTGGAAAGTAAAAGAAATTTTAGACTGGGTCTTGGATATTTGAGTAGTGGAAGCTGAGCTTACATTGCAAGGACTAAATTATGAAGAGCGGAGTTCATATCTTTCAGAAGCAAACAATTCGACAATTTGTTGGATCTTCCTAATGTGGGATGTTGTTCTACAGAGCTAAGGACAATTAGAAGTGGTAACACCATTTCTGTACTCAAAAGTGTTACTTGTAGTCGATACCGAATGGCAACGTAAGAAACTGGCAACACCGAAAGAGGTCTTGAGGCCAGAATCTCATACAGTCGAAAAGCTTTGTTAAGCTGGCAATTAAAACCCTTCATTAAGTTAAAAAAAACTGTTTACGGGTAACTAAGATCGACACAAACAAGCTGGAAAAATCGGGACACTTATCTTTATGGAACATCTAAACTGTCAAAATGGATAACTACTTAAGCAGTGATAAGTCCTTAATTTACTTTAAGGGCAAAAACAAGGTGATATTTATTGTTGATCGAAATGACCAAACATGACATAACGTAAAATCCATGGGGTTTAAATCAATAAAGAACAACGAGCATCGATGATGTACAAAACAAGTCATGATTAGATGATTGGATTCGAATATCCGCTTTGCTGAACGGAAATGGTACAAAGCAACCGCTCTTTACTGCATTCAATGACAGCGGAAAATGAAGTAAAATCTAATTAAAAACCTTTGGCCGATGCTGAACCATGCGAAAATCACAATTGTCAGCGTGAAATTCACTCGCACCTGCTCTCCCAGCTCACCAACACACGGGCACTAGCACACTCACACACACATACACAGAGACAAGCACCTGCTATTTCCCATACGCAAACAAACGGAGGATTCCGAGCCCAGGAGGAACGGAAGCCTGGCAGGTGAAAAACAGACGTCGGCTGTCCAACTCCCCGAATGCGGAATCTGGCGAAAACAGAGCAAAACTTTCGGCCAGACAAGAGAGAAAGTCGAACTTTTTGCCGGTTAGGAAGCGTTCGATACTTAGTGATGCCGGATCATTAGCTGCAAATAATGGCTGTTGTTAGCTTAAACTCCTTCTAATGCATAGAACCTGATATATGAAAAGTTTTTAGTAATCGTCAAACGAAACCTAATAAACTTATTTCGACTGACTAACGAACAAAAATAACAAAACTTTTCAAAGCTAGTGTACATATAAATAAATTAATTAAAGAGGTCTGAAACCCAAAAACATATAAAACGTAAACTAGCAAATTTTTATTTAGCTCAATTCGTGTCCTGATTTTCGAGTAGGACACTACTGACTGGCATTACTGATTGGTTGGGATGCCATGGGGGGAGATGGGCAGATAACCTCCAGGAGCGAATGAAACGCGCTGTTGCACACGAAAAATAACAAGCTGCGTTGGTCAATTCATCGAATGTCGGTCAGGGCTGCCAACGGGGAGGAAGTGGCATGGCCGAGAGGAAGTGGAAAGCCGCAGCCTGGAGGAGGAGGACGAGACCCCCGGCCAGGTGGGGGGCACCATCGGAGCTTCGCACCCAGGCATTTGGCCGTCATTGTTCGGGGAACCGTGTTTGGTCTGCTGAATTAAAAGAAATTAGTTTAGTTATGCCAATGTCCCCCCGGCTTCGCTATTGAGTTATCGGTCATGTGCGAGTGGCACAGGGACAACTTGGTGCCGTCGGCAGGAGACAACTCGCATGGATAAATTGCATTTATTATGCAAGCTTTTTCTTTCAATTTATGTGTGGGGATATATATGTTTGCAATCCCCCCTCGCCGCACTGTTATTTTTTCACAAAAATACGAAATTTTGCGTGTTGCTCTTCTGATGTCGGTTAACCATTATGTGGCATGAATATGCCATTTCCATTTTAATGCCATTCTTGGCTGCAATTCAACTCGGTGGCTCTTTGCGAATATTTCGCATTTATTTCCTGCAAAGCACAGTTATTTGAAAAAATTGTGAACGAGGTTGTAGCAATCCAATATATAAAAACATTGTTATAAATATATATATAATGTAAAATAAATTTAAAAACATATAAAACATTTTTAAGATTATATTGGAGCTTTCAAAAAAGGTTATTGGGACAAACCTAAACCATTTGCACTATGAGGCAAAACAAAAATGTTGGTGACAAACAGATTATTCTAATAGTTGTTAACCAATTTTAAGATTTTTCTTACGAAATCACACGAAATCATTGTCTGTTGTCTAAAATTTTAGCAAGATAACTTTAAAACTGAGAGACTATTAAGCGTAGAACCGAATATTACATTAACTTTATGGGTTCCAAGGTTTCTTTTTCCAGTATTGCCAACCTTTAACTCAAACCACTTTGATGTTTTACGACACGTTAAGCTTATAGTTTCAGATACAGTATCCTATCATGCTATGTATGTGGTTGTTTTTGATTTCTTATTGCAAATGCAAATGTTTCTGCACTGGGAACTATTGCACTTTAATATACCAAGAAAATCAAAAATTTATTTTCTAAGAATATATACAGTTAATCTAATATACACCATGATTGTTTCCTTTCACAAGCCCAAAAATATTCCTCTGCTTTCCATCGCCAATGGACGAACCAGATTGTGCTCATGCTGATGGCTTTCTCGAAATTGATAGTGGAAATATGCAAGCTGAATGGGATATTTAAGCGCGCCTATCAAACACGAACACAATAAATCTTTGTCACGGGCCCAAATTGACATTTTACAGCCAAAAACCAGAAACCAAAACCAAGCGGAGGACAAAGTAAGTTCCACAGGCCCGTGTTTCAGCTGCCTTTTTTGTTGCTGCGGCTGCCGCTGTTTTCAAAGCCACTGATATTGTTGTCAACAATGATGGCCCAAAGCATCAGCCACATGTGTGGCGGCAACAGCTCATCCCCCGGCAAATGCCCACACACTTGCCTGCCAAAGCCAAACCTCTATTGCCACATATCCATGGAGCAACAGGACCAACTGCGAAAATTTAATATCTGGCGAAGGGCTTTCGAATTGGGGGCGTGGCTCTATTAGAGTTAGTCCGGTGCTGCTGACGATCTGAACTCATCGCATTATCCTGGTTCCTGGGGCGGTTACTCGCTCAAAATAATTGCACAGTGCAACGCCAATATCTGGGGTAAAATAGTTTTGGAACTTAAAAGTAAAAATCTTTCAGTGAAAAATATATTTGATATATTTATATTCGTATAAATATTTGATTCGTAAAAAGAAGATCACTAGAAAATAACTAAGAATAATTGAAATTTTCTAATAATATAAGAATGTTAAAATTTAAATTTGTTTATTTTTTCGAGTGCTTTGTTGGGTGTAATCTGTCAGCCAGAGCCCTAATGCCAAAGACATTAAACCTCCACCGAGCAGTCAACAAGGGACACAAATTGCCGCGGTAAGCACCATATTTTGAGGAAACTAGATCGATTAAGACAATGGAAACTACTTTTAAAGTTAACATAAAACCTTTGATCATTTGAAAACAAAGGTTTTACCAGACTCAACAACAAACTTACAGGCCAAAAAAAATTTCGGGTACCCCAGGCCGAACATCTTAGAGTAATCTGAAACTTGTCAAATTATTTATACTTACTTTGTGCATAACAATATAAATGACTTTGGTGAACACATTACTAGTTGTGGCTTTTTGTTGGGTAAAACTATAAATATTTAAATTTTAAATTTAGCCAGAACACAAACACTTTAATTAGAATACTTACAGCTCATGGTGGTCGAAGCTGACCCCAAGGACGACAGCCTAGACAAGCACAACCAGTTGAGGAAAAAACACGGCTCTCCGCCACTGACACTGGACGATGAGTTAACCGATGAATGTGAGAAATATGCGAAAGTATGTCCGTGTGTTCTTAAATTATAGGGATTTTTAAATTTGCCCCATCAAACACTTCAAGGAGCTGGCCGAGAAAAAAGAGTTGGAACATTCAAAATGTGACGGCGTAAAATACGGTGAAAACTTGTGCTATAGGTCTCATGATCCCCAAAAATGTATTCAAAATTGGTACGATGAAATCAAAGACTACGACTTTTGCAATCCTAAGTTGGACAAAAAAACAGCCCATTTTACTGCCTTGGTGTGGAAAGAAGCCAAAAAAATGGGCCATGGCCAAGCCGAAGATGAAAAAGGAATCACGTACGTAGTAGCGAGATATTCTCCACCAGTAAATGTGAACGGTCAGTTCAAAGAAAATGTTCCGAAGCCGATCAAGTACTTAAACCTTACTTCAACTTTTGAGCCTTTAAAAACTTATTTTTTATTTGCAGTGGAAGTGGTTGTGAAGACAACTCCAATCTACCTCAAGTCGATGCCATTCTCGTCCTACTTGCGTTCTGCCTGCACTTCAAAATTTAAGCCCACATGTGTTTTGCTTTCCTCAAACCTTTTTCGGTTGTACATTTGTAGTTTATTTAAAATTAATACATGTATTATTGTAAATGTATTATTTATATATTAATACATGTATTAATTTTAAACTCTAAAATTCGAAAAATCTTTATAGAAATAACAGAAATAAAATTATAACATTGTTGTTTTTCATCAGACAAGGGATTTTTAAAATATAGAGTTTTCTAACGACTCTTGAATTATGAATTAATATATGGAAAATTAAAAAATCGTCCTACTTGCGTTCTGCCTGCACTTCAAGATTTAAGACCACTAATGTTTTGCTCTCCTAGAGCCATTTCCGGTTGTAAATTTGTAGTTTATTCAAAATGAATACATGTAATAATAACTAGAAAGGAAGCTAGCCTCGGCAAGCCGAAGATTATATACTTTTTATACCCTTGCAGAGCAAAAGGGTATTATAATTTCAGTCAGAAGTTTGCAACGCAGTGAAGGAGACACCTCAGACCCCATAAAGTATGTATATTCTTGATCAGCATCACGATCTGAATCGAAAAACGTCTGCACGTCTGTCCGTCTGGCCGTCTGTCCGTCTGTCCGTCTTGCCGTCTGTCTGTTTCTCTTTAAACTAGTCTCTCAGTTTTAAAGCTATCTTCCTGAAACTTTCCCAAAAGTTGTGTAGTTATTGCACGCAGTACACAAGTCGGAACGAGCCGGATCGGCCGACTATATCGGATAGCTCCTATACGAGAGTATGAAATAAAAAATTCTCACTCCGTTTTGATCAGATCGACTTGTATTCTTCCAGATGGCGTTTTCTAACTACTATTGAATTTCGTATTAAATTTTATCAAAATCGGACCACTCTATCATATAGCTGCCATAGGAGACATCAAAAAAATATATATAAAACTAATGGAAATAAATTGATAACATCGTGGTTTTTTATCCCATGAGCATGATTTTTTGAATATCAAGTTTTTTAACAACTCTTATACTAAGAAAAAAGTTTCATAAAAATCGGACAACTATATCTTATAGCTGCCATAGGAAAGATCGAAAAATCTATATAAAAATAACGGAAATAAAACGATAACATCGTTGTTTCTCTTCAGAAAATCATGATTTTTGGAATATATAGTTTCGACTAACGACTTGAATAACAAATTAAATTTTATCAAAATCAGACGACTATATCATATAGCTGCCATATGAACAATAGTCAAAAATATGGAAAATTAATAGAAAAGTCGTCGTAGCTTCGATGTTGTTCTGTTCAAAATATTTGATGACTGCAAGGGTATATAAGCTTCGGCTTGCCGAAGCTAGCTTCCTTTCTTGTTCGGTCATCAAATAGGTCGAAAGAGGGTAAAGTCAAAAGTTTGCAATGCAGTGAAGGAGATTCCTCAGACCCCATAAAGTAAAGGTATATATTCTTGATCAGCATCACGATCAGAATCGAAATACAAATATACAAGATTCGGGTTATAATCGCTTATAAAAAGTTTTTTAAAATTGTGAAAGTATCTAACAAACTAACAAAGGAAGCATTTTAGTAAGACCCAACTAGCAAAAGTTTGAGTTATACTGTTTCTGTAATAATAATAATAATTTCTCAGGCAACGTATATTCGATATTTTTTTTTTTGTTTTGCTGTGAGAGGCTTGGCAGTTTTATTGCTAAATTTGGACTAAAAGAACCGTCGCATGAGCATCGCTCAAGAGCTTTTGAGTTTAAAAAAATGAATAAGTTTAACTAAAATAAATGGTTTACATTGGTTTAAATCACGAACTTTTGTTCATATGGCAGTTATATGATATTCGTTCGATTTCGATGAAATTTAATTCAAGAATCGTTAGAAAACTCCATATTCCAAAAATTATGCTTGTGTGATGAAAAACAACGATGTTATAATTTTATTTTCGTTATTTCTATATAGATTTTTCGATCTTTCCTATGGCAGCTATATGATAACGTTGTCGGACTTTGGTGAAATTTTTTCTCGATTCAAGGGTTATTAAAAAACTACATGTTTTGAAAATCATGCTCGTGGGATTAAAAACAACGACGTTACTATTTTTCCATTTATATAAATATTTTCCGATCTTTCTTATGACGGCTATATGATAGAATTATCCGATTTTGATAAAATTGAATCCAATTTTAAATAGTAGTTAGAAAACGCCGTCTGGAAGAAATCAGGTTGATTTGATCATAAGCCATCCGATATAGTTGACCGATCCGGTCCGTTCCGACTTCTTTACTGCGTGCAATAACTACACAACTTTTGTGAAAGTTTCAAAAGCTTCAAAACTGAGAGACTAGTTTACAGAGAAACAGAAACAGACCAACGGACAGACGGACAGACGTACAGACGTATTTCGATTCTGATCGTGATGCTAATCAAGAATATATATACTTGATGGGGTCTGAGGTATCTCCTTCACTGCGTTGCAAACTTCTGGCTGAAATGATAATACCCTTTGCTCTGCAAGGGTATAAAAATTGAAAAAATTTTAGCATCGATGTTTTTTATTATACAAGTTTAATTTTTTGAGCAAAGAGTTTTTAACGACTTTTAAGTTTCGAATTAAGTTTCATTGAATCGGGCGACCTTAGTTTATAGCTGTCATAGGAACACACGGAATCACCAACGTGGTAGCAAATATTATCCACCCAGTGGCGTTACTATACCCTCTGGGGCCCGTGGCAAATTTTTTTGATGGGGCCCTGTCATTTTAATAAACCCTTTAAGTAGTTATCGGACACTGTATACATTTATATAGATACAGAACTTAAAATATTGATATTTATATTATCAATTCAAATAAAATACACAGGTTCTTACAACACATAGAACAAAAAAAAACTGAGCTAGCAGCCTCTTGAGCCGGGGCCCTCTTGGGTCGGGGGCCCGTGGCATTTGGCCACCTCTGCCACCCTATAGTTACGCCACTGTATCCACCACTAAATGTAAATGGACAAATGAAAAAAAATGTTCCGAGGGCGATCGAGTATTTTGTTCTTACTTTAAATTTATAGCTTTATAAAATCCTGTTTCATTTTCAGTAAAAGATGTGGTTCACCCCGTAAATACGGGATAACCGTTTCGAAAACTATTTTGAGATCATGGTACCCGAGGCCAAATATCTTATAGCAATCTGAGACTTGTCAAATTATTCATACTTACTTTGTGCATAACACTAGAAGTGACTTTGCTGAACACATTACTAGTTGTGGGTTTCTGTTGGGTAAAATTAAAAATATTTAAATTTCAAATTTTTCTAAACATCAACACTTTAACGAGAATACTTACAGTTTTTGGTAGTCGAAGCCAGCCCCAAGACGGAAAGCCTTGACAAGCACAACCAGTTGAGGGAAATACACGGCTCTCCACCACTGACACTGGACGACAAGCTTACCCGCGAATGTGAGGAATATGCTTGCGTGTGTTCTTAAATCATAGGGATTATTAATTTACTCCATCAAACGTTTCAACAGGAGCTGGTCGACAAAGCAGAACTGGATCATTAAAAAAATGCTGGGGGCCATTACGGTGAAAACTTGTGCTATCGGTCTGATGATCCCGAGAAATGAGTTCAGGAATAGTACGATGAAATGAAAGATTACGATTTTAGCAAGCCTGGGTTTGACACGAAAACAGGCCATTTTACCGCCTTGGTCTGGAAAAAAGCCAAAAAAAAGGGTCATGGCAAAGCCAAAGACGGAAAAGGAGGCTTCTTCGTAGTAGCGCGATATTATCCACCAGTTTATATGTATGGGGAGTTAAAAAAAAATGTTCCGAGGCCGATCGAGAACTTCAACCTTACTTCAACTATGTAGCCTTTAAAGACTTATATTTTATTTGCAGTGGTGGAAATCTTTTCTAACTCATCTACCTCAAGTCGATGCCATTCTCGTCCTACTTGCATTCTGCCTGCACTCCAGGATTTAATCCCCCTTGTGTTTTGCTTTCCTCGAGCCATTTTAGGTCGTAAATTTGTAGTTTGTTAAAAATTGATACATATATTAATAAAACTTATTGGTCTTCTAAAAGTAGTTGTTATGACTCGTGAAGAATACATTACCTTGAAATGGGGACGGTTTGAGTTATGCCTAATTAACTCGCAGCAAACTAAATAAAATACGAAAAAGGATTCGTTAAATGGTTGTTTTACTTTCTAGCAGTCTATTTTAATAAACTTCTTGCTTAAATTGTATTAACTAATAAAAAAAAATACGCCGTTGAATTTTATATATTAGCATGATTTTTTTTTTCAGATGGTGAATTTCGAATTAAGTTTTATGAAGTCGGATGACTATATCTTATAGCTCGGATAAGAAATATGCAACGCAGTGGAGGGGAAGCTTCAGACATTATAAAATATTTATATTCTTGATCAGCATCACGATCTGTTTCTATGTAAACTAGTCTTTCAGATTTAAGGTTATCTTACGGAAACTTTACCAAAAGTTGTGCAGTCATTGCACGCAGTATATAAGTTCGAACGGGCCGTTGATATCACTCCGTTGATTTTGATTATATTGACTTGATTTCTTTCAGATGGTATTTTTAACTACTAATGAATTTTGAATTAAATTTTATTAAAATCGGATAACTATTTCATATAGCTATCATAGGAACAAATGGTGAAAACATGGAAAATGAAACAAAAAATCATGACAGCTTTGATATGGTTTAGCCTTAACGCCTTTCGCTCGACATTAATGATGACTGCCAGAGTAAAAAAAGCTTCGGCTTGTTAATTAACCATATGAATCGCTTTAAAGGGAGCTGACCGGCAAAGGAACATTCCAACATTCAAGCGACGCAGGACCAAAATATTGGGAAAACTTGTGCAATCGGTCTATCCGAAAAACTTTTTCAAGATTGGTACGATGAATTCGATGATTACGATTATACCAACCCTGTAAATGCCATGCCAAAAAAATGGGTTACGGTCAAGCCAAAGATGCAAAAGGAATCACCAACTTGGCACGATATTATCGACCAGTAAATGAGAATGGACAACTGAAAAGAAATGTTCCGAGCGCGATCGAGTATTTTGTTCTTACTTTAGCTTTATAGCTTTATAGCTTGATAAACTCGTGTTTAATTTTCAGTAAAAGTTGGGGCTCACCCCTTAAAGACGGGATAACCGTTTCGAAAACTATTTTGAGATCATGGTACCCGAGGCCAAATATCTTATACCAATCTGAGACTTGTCAAATTATTCATACTTATTTTGTGCATAACACTAGAAATGGCTTTGGTGAACACATTACTAGTTGTGGCTTTCTGTTGGGTAAAATTAAAAATATGATTTTTATTTTAATTTTAAATTTTTCCTGAAAACAAACACTCATAACGAGAATACTTACAGCTCTTAGTAGTCGAAGCCAGCTACGAGAAGACTTTTCTAACCAAGCACAACCAGTTGAGGAAAAAACACGGCTGTCCGCCACTAAAACTGGACGACGATCTAAGCAGTGAATGTGAGGAATATGCGAAAGTATGTCCCTTGCGTGAGTTCTTAAAGTATAGCGGTTATTAATTTACTCCATCAAACGCTTCAACAGGAGCTGGCCGAGAAAGATGAAATGACACATTCGGAACGTGCAGGGCACGATTACGCTGAAAACTTGTGCTATCGGTCTAGGCGTCACGAGAAATGTGTTCAAGAATGGTACGATGAAATCAAAATTTACGATTTTAACAATCCTGTGTTTAAGAAGAAAACAGCCCATTTTACCGCCTTGGTGTGGAAAGAAACCAAGAAAATGGGTTATGGCCAAGCCAAAAGTAAAAGAGGAATAACCTACGTGGTAGTGAGATATACTCCAACTGGAAATATGCCTGGAGAATTCAAAGAAAATGTCCCGAAGCCGATCAAGTACTTAAACCTTACTTCAACTTTACTGCTTTTGAAAACTTATATTTTGTTTGCAGAAAAAGGCGTAGTTCACCCCGTGAAGTTGAAACGAACAACTCTAATCTACCTCAAGTCCATGCCATTCTCGTCCTGCTTACGTTCTTCCTGCTCTTCAAGACTCGAAGCAAGTGGTAAAGATTCCGCCAAAGAAGATATCGGTTAAATTTGTGCACCATCTGGGAGGCATCCGATCCCTTTCCAGATGATGTTCAAAATTAATTGATCGCTTTTAAGGAGCTTGCCATTTCTGGATCGCTGTGCTTACTTTTGGTGCGAAGAAGTCAATAAGTACAACTTTAATAATACTAGCCACTTTACCTACGTGGCTTAAAAGAACTCATGGAAATTGGTAACGGCCAAGTTAAAGATGCAAACGAGATCTACTTCGTTGTGGGTGGCTTACACTTTATAAATTTAAGTTTTGAAGCAACATTTGTTAACCCTATCCAAAATTATGTACGTATTTAGTAAAAATTCGGCTCCCTAAAATTGTCATAAAAAAATTCAGTTTGCGTAAATAAATCGAGAAATTAAAAAGCTTTTCCTTTTCTGTTTGGGGGCAATAAACATTAAACATATAAAATAAAATTAAAACGCACGTAACAAAGTTTAATAAATTAGGCGTTTACATGTTTCTTTGCCATCTTTTTATGGTCTTTGAAACTAAACTAAGAAAAAACTTTATAATATATATATTTATTTTATGTGGACCACGTCAGCGATAATGGTAATTACAAAATATTTTTCGGCGCGCGGACTTACAAAACCGAAGTGCTTCTGGTTTGGTCATAATGGGTTATCAGTTAAATTCGACCCAGAATGTTTTATAATTACGTTTAATTTCAGGTGATGCTGGACGATACCCGCATTAAAAACCAAAGAGCTGTACATTAATTACTATTATCAAGCAATAATTTATTTATTAATACTATTCCAGTTGCATTTTTAACTGGATTTAGTCCATCAAGGCCTTGACGTGGTAGGTACCAGTTTTAGAACGAAATTAATTAAGTTATTTGTTGAACTCAAGAATACGACTAAAATAAACTATGCAAACAAAAAAAGACATAGAAGACTTTTTATCAAATAATTCAATGTTCAGACTCTTTACCGACTGAATCTGCTCACGAAATTAAGTAATAGTTAAATTTACCAAGCCCATTTAATTGAGCTGGGCACCAGATTGCAATATCAAAATTTGTGTTTGTAAAGGTTGCGTCTGTTTTTAAATAATGCCTGTGTAAGACAGATGTTTATATTCTTTGCTGAACTGCACTCTGATCGCAGTTGAAGATAGTTTAAGATAGCTAAATATATAATTATTTATATTCAATTGTATATGATATGAGGTAATATTTTTTTTACCTATAGTGGACTTTTGGATGAGAACCTATTGAGGTACATTCCATTTTTTTATTTAGGTAATTTTTTGAATTACATACTTTGGTCACAGGTGGTGACGAACTATGGATAAAAATATTATTTTAGCTTAGGACTGTTTATTTTACCTCCATCAATCCGAAAGGTAAAACATTTTTAAAAGCGAAAAAACGATTTATTGCTGTCAAGAAGCTTGATGATGGTGGATTGCTAGGGCAAGATGGTGAAAGACAGTAGAGACATACTGTACCTGAAATAGCTGTTGACATAAAAAAGTTAATAACTTTAACTAAAATGAATCAGTATTCCATGGGCCACGGAAAAGACAAAGATGCAAACGGGGTCTACTACGTTGTGGCATGATCCAAAAGGAAATGAGTAGAACACAAAGGAAAGAAGGATAACTCTTTTTAAGTTCGAGTCTACAGTAATTATTTCACAAATAAAAAATACATTTTTTACTCCTTCCAAACTGATGTACATACTTATAGCAATCTAAAACATGTCAAATTATTCATAGTATGTTTATACACTGCAGTAAAAATGTCTTTGATAAACAAATTATTTGTCATAGCTTTTTGTTGGGTGAATCTTAAAATATTGAAATATAATATTAAACTAGAAAACAATCGTTTATAACGAGGTTAACTACAGCTTGTGGTGGTCGATGCTGGTCGATATAAGTTCGAACGGATCGGGCGACTATATCGGATAGCTCTCATACGAGAGAACAAAAAAAGTTATCATATATTTTAATCATATCGACTTGATTTCTTTCAGATGGTATTTTTAACTACTATCAAATTTTGAATTAAATTTTATCAAAATCGGATAACTACATATTTCATATAGCTATCATAGGAACAACTGGTGAAAACATGGAAAATTAAACAAAAAATCATCATAGCTTTGATATGGTTTACCCTTAACGCCTTTCGCTCGACATTAATGATGACTGCCAGAGTAAAAAAGCTTCGGCTTGTTAATTAACCATATGAATCGCTTTAATGGGAGCTGGCCGGCAAAGGAACATTCCAACATTCAAGCGACGCAGGACCAAAATATTCGGTCTATACGAAAAACTTTTTCAAGGTTGGTACGATGATTACGATTATACCAATCCTGTAAATGCCATGCCAAAAAAAATGGGTTATGATCAAGACAGAGATGCAAACGGAATCACCAACTTGGAAGCAAGATAAAATTTTCCGAAAATTTTTGTTCTTACTTTATAGTTTTATAGTTTTATAAACTCGTGGTTAATTTTTAGTAAAAGTGGTGCATAACCCCATAAAGACTAGATAACCATTTCGAAAACTACATAAGTATTTTGAGATCATGGTACCCAATGCCAAATATCTTACAGCAATCTGAGGCTTGTCAAAATATTTATACTTACTTTGAGCATAACAATAGAAATGGCTTTGGTGAACACATTACTAGTTGTGGCTTTCTGTTGGGTAAAATTAAAAATATTTAAATTTCAAATTCTTGATTCTCTTTTCAAGCGAACGGTCGTGTTCGAAAAATCTATATTGAAATAACGGAAATAAAATTATAACATCGTTGTTTTTCATCAGACAAGTATGATTTTTGGAATATAGAGTTTTCTTACGACTCTTGAATTACGAATTAAATTTGATCAAAATCGGGCAACTATATCATATAGCTCCCATATGATCTATAGTCGAAAATATGGAAAATTAATAGAAAAATCGTCTAAGCCTCGATGTTGTTCAACCTTTATGCATTTTGTTCGACATATTTGATGACTGCAAGGGTATATAAGCTTCAGCTTGCCGAAGCTAGCTTCCTTTCTTATTTTAAAATATTTTTAAAGTATTAAAATAAACGCTTTATTTATTTTAAAGATAAATGCATCATCCATGGTATATTATAATCTTTGTTAGTTTCATGCTACAGTATATTCAATATTTGTAAAAGGTATTACCTCTTTGTGAAAGCCTTTTCTTCCTGTATCTCGCTTTGGCAATCAGGCCAACTGAATTCCCCATTGGTGATACCTGTGTCAAAAAAGTAGATGGTGAGACCCAGATATGGTCTCGAGCGAATAAAATTGTCATTTAGCATTTGGCTTTTCGTATCCGGTACCACAGCCTGAAGCAATCGTATGACGCTCGTTGAATATAATGCTATTTGGTGTAAGGTACCCATTACAAAATTAAGGTGTGCTTAAATTATTTTTTAATTTAAAGCACTACGTAAAGCATAATTTTTTAAAACAAACCACCTCTTAAAGAAATTTGTCGTAGTTGGCTACGAATAAAGGGTATCACACAGTCGAAGCACTTTCTTGAAAAGTTATTTCCTGCTTTGTTTTGCTACATGTCTGCTCCCAAGTGGAAGTCGATGTCTGGCGCCGAGCAGCTGCCGAGAGCGTATTAAATCCGTAAGCACTCATTATTATTCAATCAGATATGGAGTCGAATGCCTTTTTTTGGCCTCACTTAGCCTCGATTTCTATCTGTGTGAGTTGTGCGTCGGCCCACCTAATGGCATTCAAATTGCTTCCATCTCCGGTCGGTTGCATTGGAACACCTTCAACTAAAATTAATGGAATTATAGATCACGACGCAAGGATTGACATGCTCCCCAGATATTTTCTTTACAAAACGTTGAGTGAGAAAGTAGTCCTTAGCTGTTTATAATGTACAAAGGATTTTTTTTTGAAATTCTACACAAAGAAGTCGAATAAAGAACTTAAACATGCATGTGTAAGAATCTGAGCGTTTTTTTTATCACATTGTTTGCACTAAAAAGTTAAAAAGGTATTTAAAAACTAAGGTAAATACTTTAATAATTGCTTATACAATTTATTATGTTCATAAGGTTTGTAGATATACTATATTTAGTACCATTTTCTTAGTCTATAATGACTATGTTTTGAGGCCACGCAGGTTTATGTACTTTCGAAATACTCCTCATCGTCACTTCATTGCGGCTTGGATTCTCTGGAGAGCAGAGTTTGTCAACTATTTACAACTTGAACTTGGCTGTAAAATTTATGGACGTCGTAAAACTAAAAGTGTGGGCATCTCCCTGCGAAAATGTTATGAAATCAAATTTACACACAAACCATCCCTAATGACCCAGCCCACAAACAGAACGGAAACGCGAAGGCGCCATTCCGGAAAAAGGGAAAATCAAGTCGCGGGACATTGTGTCTGTATGGCAGACTGGAAATTGTTTAATTTTGCACTCGCTTAATTATCTGCCGGGTGCTTAAATTATAATGGCGCTGACCTAATTGAGTAATAATCAAAATTAAGTGCAAGCTAAATTGCTATTAATTATAAAGTGCGCGCGAAGATGCCACCATCCTCCATCGATAGCGTGCAGATGGATACTTCAAATGGGTGGGACAGTTTGTCGCAGCTGTCACCTATCGAAAACCTGCGTTCTGATAATGAGGAATAAGACAAGCTAGTAGCATACATGACTAAACTGGGTCAATCATTTAAAATTCATTTTTTATATTGTTTTAAATTTTCGCAAAGCACTTTCAAATGATCTTCAAATGATCACTTTCAAATGATCTGTTATATTTGACCAGTTTTTATACCAAAACAAGAAAGGAAGCTAGCTTCGGCAACCCGAAGCTTATATACCCTTGTAGTCATCAAATATGTCAAACAAAATATATAAAGGTTAAACATCATCGAAGCTAAGACGATTTTTCTATTAATTTTCCATATATTCGACTATTGTTCATATGGCAGCTATATGATATAGTTGTCCGATTTTTATGAAATTTAATTCGTAATTCAAGAGTCGTTAGAAAACTCTATATTCCAAAAAGCAACAACGATGTAATAATTTTATTTCCGTTATTTCTATATAGATTTTTCGATCTTTCCTATGGCTATATGATAGCCATAGCCATTTTCATTAAGAATTTTTTATTTCCGTCTCTCGTATCGAAGCTATCCGATATAGGCGGCCGATTTGGTCCGTTCCGACTTATATACTGCGTGCAACAACTACACAAGTTTTGGAAAAGTTTCAGTAAGATAACTTGAAAACTGAGAGACTAGTTTACTTAGAAACAAAAAGGAGGACAGACGGATAGGCGTACAGATTCGATGCTGATCAGAAATATATATACTTTAAATACCCTTTGCTCTGGGTATAAAAAC